AACTCCAAACGGGGACACTCCCAGTGTCAGATGGAAGTGGGATCTGCTGAGGCCTAGCTGGTGCCATGCTAAGTGACATTTTCACCTGAACCTTGAAACGAGCTGGGAGATAAGGAAACTGAGGCAGGCTCTGGCCTATTCCTGATTTCCGGAGCTTTGCGCCACCCTGGGCTCCTCTCTGAAGCTGGGCACTTGGACCTCTGGCTCTTCCATCCGCCCCTACCTACTCTCAGCCCTACTCCTGCTCAGGGCCATCCCTATAGCCTCGAAAGACTTACTGATGCCAGTGCAGCTGGCTGGCCTTGTCCCCATTCACCCACTTCCCTGAAGACCACACACACTTGCACATACATGGGAGAGGACAGGGTCCTGCAAGGAGGCCCCTGGAAGGAGGTTCAGCTTGCAGGGGGGGGGGCGGAGCCAAGGGCCACATCCCCACCCCAGTCCCGGCCCCAGCCCCAGTTTCCTCATTTTCCCCAGCACTGTTTCTTACCCAGCCCCCTACACCTCAGCCCGAGAGGAAGTTGCACAATCCCCTGGGAGCTGCAATGTGGTGGAGGATTACTCACAGCACAGAGGGAACCGTGCGCCCCAAGGCCTCTCACACACACCCACAAGCCTACCCGAGGCAGAACAGCTCCAATCTCACCAGCCCAGTGCTCCAGGCCTCAGAGCGAGCCCACCTCCCAGATGGAGGCTCTCACAGCTGCGCCACCTCAGCCTGGGCCCACAGGTCCCCAGACACCGAGAGGGAGAGACACAGAGGGGCCATGATTTCACTGGGATCAGAATCCTACCAGGCCTAGGATAGTCCAACCCCAACCCATGCCTCCTGCCAGTCCCACCCGGAGGACACCACAGTTCACCACCTCTCTGGCTGACCACACTCCTGCCACCTTGGCCTCTGGGCACCCAGTTCACAGACTTTCTCTAGCCCCCTTTGAAATGGGAGACCAAATGTCACTCTGTGAGGTTTTGGGAAGATCTAAGCCACCATGAGTTTTTCGCTTGTTGGAAACTCTTGCTACAGATGTGATTTGCGTGCTTCCTTAACCCACAAAACATTTCTCTAACACCCTGTCAAAGAGATGTGACAAAGACTGCATTTACTGCTATTTCTGGTGGCGAAGGCATTCCCACCTTTAGTAGGTACTACTCCTTGTTGAGAAGGCCRGCAGCCATTAAAGTATTATCAATCACCTACATCTCCAGGTGGATGAACTTACTAGGCCCTTCCGGGAGGGCATGCTTYGGGAATGAAGAGGGTATAGGGGAAGAGCAGGCCATGGCGCCTGGAGAAGGCAAACGTTCCAACCAGGTGAGGCAAGCCCCCAGACAGAGAGCTCAGAGAGGCCTGGAGAGGATCAGCCCCGGCTCTGGTCCAATCTGGGGCCTCCCTGGGATAGCAAACTCTGGAAAGACACAAAAGACGAGCAGGAGCCTGGCCCCGGTGTACAGAGCCCCTAGCGCTGACCCCTGACTCCCACCCCCTCACGGCCCTGAACCTGCAATGGGGCCTCAGATAAGGAACATGATAAGCACCTCTTATCACCCCACAACCTTGGACTCCTGTCCAGCTCAGGACAGAGTCAGAAGTGGTTCTGCCTGGGCCCCAGGGCTCCCAGAGAGCCCTTGGTTTCTGCAGTCCTCATCAAAAGGCAGGGGCCCTCAGGGTGGTTCCCTACAGCCCCTGGAGCAGGAAGATCCAGGGCCAAGGCTCGCAGCTCATCACCTGAGGCCTCTGGCTCAGCAGACAAGGAAACAGTCACTGAGTTGGGAAGCCTCCTCCCCTGGACAGGGCCCCCACAAGAATGCTTCCCAATTGCCAGCGCACCCACCACCGCCCCATCCTGATGATAGCCCCATTAAGGGGACAGGCGGCCACCCTTGCTACTCCCATTTCTCAGATAAGGAGTCTGAGGCTCAAAGCACTGAAATGACTTCTCTGAGGCCATGCCTCAAGTTTATGGCAGATGTCAGCTTCCTGGCTCTTTTCGTGGCCGAGTTTCTAACTTCAACAGCACAACGCTTGTGCCAGATGACTCTTGGTTGTGGGGGATGCTCTGTGAATCTTAGACTGTTTGGCAGCATCCCTAGCCACTGTCATCAGACATTGCCAAATGTTCCCTGGGGGTACCGAATCACCCCTGTYGAGAACTATTACCTTAGAAGCAGTTAAGACAGACACCTGCCAATTCTAAGTGGAAGGTTACACGGCTGAGGGCTCTAGCCCTGGAGTCTCCCCGCCCTCCTTGCCAGATGTTCAGGCAGGAGGTCCTGAAGGGTGGTGGGTACTCAGTGAGCTCTGTACCTCTGGGAAGAAGATGTCCCCTGGGAGGCACTGCCACTTGGGGGCTCCTTCTAAGACCAAAGGCTACCCTCCCATTCCCATGCACCACACCAGCCCCTTTTCTGGTAGTTAATATTACGGAGGTCTTTCCATTATTTTGATCCTAGACTCCTGTCAGTAAACAAAACAAAACAAAAAAAAAATTGAGCACTGTCATATGCCTCTTTCTTTAGTGTCAATCCCTTGGTGTCCCTGATACACTGATTCTTCCTGGATAGTAAAATATGCAGATGCTCAAGCCCCTTATATAAAGTGGCCCAGTATTTGCATATGACCTATGCACACGGTCCTGTATACTTTAAATCATCTCTAGATGACTTATAATACCTAATACAATGTTAATGTTATGTAAATCTTTGTTATACTATATTRTTTAGGGAAAGATGGCATCAGATGTCATCTCTGAACATCCAGGTTCAGAACAGATACAATTTTTTTTAGTTGTAGGTGGACACAATACCTTTATTTATTAATTTGTGTGGTGCTGAGAATCGAACCCAGTACCTTGCGTGCTAGGCAAATGCTCAACCAACGAGCCACAACCCCAGCCCTTAAGCATTTTTTATCTGAGGTTGACCGAATCCACAGATGCTGAACCCATGCATAAAGAGGACCAACTCTATATAATGTTTAAATATATTAGGCACATGAGCAAACATAAACAAAAACAGATGACAATGGAAATGGAAATGAAACTATGGGGAGCTACTGCGACCCACTCACCGGGATGGCAGAAATTCAACAGTCCAACGACACCAAGTGTTGACAAGGATCCCAAGCAACAGGAACTCGGAGGAGGAGTTGCCAGTGGGGAGCAGATTGGTCCAAACACTTAAAATATTTACTGAAGCTGAACTATGCATTGCATGCCTTGTGCCTGAACAATCCCACTCCCAGTTAGATACACTCTGAAGAAATCTATGTATTGATGCACTAGGAAGCACATACAAGGATTTTCTTACACTATTGTTCTTGGGAGCCAAGAAAGAAAAACCACCCAAATGTCAATGGATACCAGAATGGATACCATGTAGCAATGAAAAGGAACACTCTATGGTGACACACACGGATGAATCTCACAAATACATTACTGAGTGGGAAAAGCATGAACATCTGAACTGGCAAGAATATATCCAGGGTCACTCGTCTGTATTCCATTCAAAGTCACACAAAGCTAAGCCCTATTGCTAAGAGCTGCAGACACAGCAGGGCAGATGATAAAGAGAACCAAGGAACAGGTTATCGTGAAGGTCAGGATAGTGGTTACTGCTGGTTACATGATAAAGAGAAGCAGAGATGATTATCATAAAAGTCAGAACAGTGGTCATCTCAGGGAAGGGGACAATGTTGATCTTGGAGTTTGAGCTGCATTCGCTTCTACATCTGGCGGGTGAGTTACCTAGGGATTCACTTTTACATACACATATATTTATGCTCTTTTTGACAATTATGTTATAGTTCATAATAAAAAGGAGAAAAGGATGAGATATAAATAAACAGAAGTTCTAATTTCTTCCCACAACTGGTTTTTGAAAAATACTGTTATTAGGCCCCCAAACTGGTCAAGAACCTATAGGAGGGCTGGGGATGTGGCTCAAGCGGTGGTGCGCTCGCCTGGCATGCGTGCAGTCCGGGTTCGATCCTCAGCACCACATACCAACAAAGATGTTGTGCCTGCCGAAAACTAAAAAATAAATATTTAAAAATTCTCTCTCTCTCTCTCTCTCTCTCTCTCTCTCTCTCTCTGTCTGTCTCTCTCTCTGTCTCTTACTCTCTGTCTCTCACTCTCTCTTTATTAAAAAAAAAAAGAACCTATAGGCAATCACAGGGCTGTAGTGAATGGGGATTTTGGGGGTTGTCTGTGAGGCCATTAGTTAGCCCAGGTTAATGGCTGTGCCTCGGGCCCTAGGCACAGGCCACCATAGCCTCTTTCATCTCCCACCCAGCTCGGGATGTCCCAGCCACCACACTCCCCTTCCTGGCCAAAGGCAGTGAAGCTGCGTCAGTCTGGGCACCTGCAGGCCACCTCATCCTACCTCTGGGCCCCTGACCGAGGCCTGGAGGCTCACTGTGGGAAAGGCACCTCAGTTACCCTCTGAACACACTAAAAGAAGGAAGCAAAAAAAGAAATAAAAGAGGATGGAGAAAAGGGAGGACAGAGAGCAGGCAACATACATTAAGGACTGACRTTCCAGATGCGTGGATATTCCAGGAACTTGATGGAGGGGCAGAGGGGAGGCTGGGGGTAGGGGAAAGGAAAGAGGAAGAACAGAGAAGGTGCTGCAGGTGCGGGGAGCAGGGTCCAGGCCCAAGTCTTAGGACTCAGCAATGGGAAGGTCCACAAACCCCTTTGTCTCAGGGCTTCCAAGTGGCAGGTGGGTGGCTCAAGGGCCTCCCCTCCTATTCAGCAGCCTCCAGAACTCCTGGAAGAAAGGACTCTGACCAGGGCCTGCAGAGGTGTCCCCAGGTGAGAGGACTGGGGAGCAGGAGAGCTGCTCTTTTGGGGGTCCAGACAGAGGAAGGCACACTCAGTCAAGGTCCTGTGCTGGCCAGAGCCCAGAGCAAGCAAGCTCTTTGGGGCAAAGGGCTAGTTACTACCACGATTATGTTCACCCGTTTTTGTTCCCTTGGAACATCCTCCWAACTCTACCTTCTGTCATTCCACCTGTCTGTCCTTTGCAGTGATTGAGATTCCCTGGTGAGGCGGAGCCCAGTTGTTGCTCGACTCCGCAGGCTTGGCCAGCATAGTGCTGGGTACCCAGGAGGTGCTCAGGGCACACTTATTGATCCAAAGGTGCTGAAGGCCAGGAGGTTCTGGGATGGGGTTGAGGGTTCCCTCCTCTCAACCACACAGGGACAACACCAGCTGGCTGAGAGGGCTCCCAACTCTACCGCTCCAATCAGCCCTGAGCAAAGCCAGTTAGCGCTGCCCTCAGAGCAGCTGAATGCACCTGGCCAGGGCTGGGCGGAGATGAGAGACAGCAGAGGGGTGGACAGTATAGTGTGTCACCTCCTGGCCACTCCACACCCTTCAGGGACTAGAGGGGGCTGAGCAGGTGTTGTCCCCAAACCAATTATAAACAAGGCAGAGGACAAGCTGTGACTTCCCTTGGCAAACAGGAGCCAACAAACCAGAGCCCCGCCCCACAGACCCACTTGGAGAACTGGGGGGAGGGGGTGCTGGCAACCTCTCTGTGGGGAGGAACAGACTGAACCCCAAGCCAAGAAGGCTGGGCCTGCATCCTGGCGGAAGGGGGCAGGGCAGAGGCAGAGCTCAGGACCTTGTGGGGCTGTGGACAAAGTCCTGGGTATTAGACAGGGAAGCACCTGCAAGGTGGAGATTGTGGGTCAAGCATTTTTTGTGTCCTCATTTCTGGGCACATGATGGTGCCTTGACTTCCATTCACTCACTCATTCCACAGAGATTTACCGAGTATCCACCCTATTCAAGGCTCCCTTCCAGGCTCCAGGTGATACTGCATGGAGCAAAACAGACCAGAGTCCTGACCTCAGGGCGCCCACAAAGGGGTGCTGGCTCAGACCCCAAGCTCTTCTGTCAACCTCCTCTCCCTACCCTCCTCACCTCACACGGGGTTTCACCCCAACTCCCTCCAGTTTCCAAGGGCTACCACAAGCCCCAGGGTGAGCCCCCAGGCTCTCTTGACCATTCAATGCCCTCCAGGCCCTGGAAGATGGTARACACAGCTACCTGCAACAGGGGTTCTCCATCAACCCTCCCGACCTCTGTGGGGCCAAGACAAGGAGAGAATGGTTTCTTTTTGTGTGTGTCTTATTATTTTTACTATTAATAAGAAATGCAATTCAAACAGTGATAAAATATTTGCCCGCTGTGGGCCAGAGTGAAACCCAACAGGCCTTTCGGCAGAGGCCCTCCAGTGATCTGAAGGGTTGCTTTGGAACTTGTCCCTATTCCAACAATGCTCCTGCAGCCCCCAAGCACCCATGCAGCAGCTTCAGCTTCTGCCACGTGTTCTGATGACCCCCTGGATAGCACCATCCTTCTTCGTCCATCTGACTTGGCCTTCATAATCAGTATATATTTCTTTTTTAAAATTTTTGTGCATTTATTTATTTTTTACATGAGCTCTCTTATTATTATTGTTTTCTGCATTACAATTCTTAGTACACCTTTATACCACAATTTATCACATCTCTGTATATAAGATATGTTGACACCAAATTCACATCTTCATACATGTATTTTGTATAATGATGAGGGTCTACTCAAGCAGCATATGTTTCTCAAGCATTGTCTTAAAAAAAAAAAATGGGACCAAGAACCACGTAAGTGAGTGGCGGTCAGTTTAATGGGATGTTGCAGTTTGGATATGGGTTGAGAGCTGTCTAAGGGTTCATATGTTGATATTTAATCCTCATTCGGAGGTATGAAGAGGGTAGAAACTTAATCTGACTATTGTGCTGAGACAGGGGTACTAGGGAGGTGATTAGGATAAGATCATTGGGGGGGGGGGCCCGGGATTGAATCCTGATGCTTTTATAAGAGGGAGAGAGTCCAGAAGGGACACACATATGCTCTGTGTCTCTTGCCATGTGATGCCCTGTACCACCTCAAGCAGGACTCTACCAGCAAGAAGTCTATCATCAGATGTGGCCTCTTGGCCTTTGACCAGAACTGTGAGCTAAATAAACACTTTTTCTTTATAAGCTCCCCAGCCTCTGGTATCTTGTTAGAGTAACATGAAACACACTAATACATGAGCACTGGGTGCAAAAGGTGTGTGTGTGGGGGGGGGGCGGAGGGACACTAAATGGTCTCAAAAATGGTCCCTTCCCTTCAGAATGGACACAGGACTCAATGGCCACTATAGCTCCCTGAGCAGTGGCAAGACAAGAGGCCCCAAAGGCAGTGGTTTTCTAAGTGTGCTCTGGGGACAAGGAACTCTGGCATCACCTGAGAACTTGTCAGAAATTTCAATTCCAGACCTCCTGGACWAGCAGACCTGCTGAAAGGGACACCCTGGGGTGGGGACAGCAATCTGGGATTTAACATTCCTCCAGGGATTTTGATGCACTCATATGTGAAAATCCCTGCCTAGAGAAATGGCATCAGAATCATTTGGGACTTTTTAAAATAGTGATGCCTAGGCTCCTCCCCCTGAGGTTCAGATGCAGAAGTGTTTTCTAAGGGCTCCCAGGTGACCATAACATACAGCCATGCTGCAGTAGGATGGAAAGGTGTGTCCTGATGGAGAGAAAGATTTGGTTAGTGGGAGGGGCAGGGGCAGGTGTGCAGAAGGCACCTGCATGAACAGGGCTGGGAGAAGGGAGTGCAGACCTGGGTTTCTAGACAGAGTCACCTGGAATTCCTGGAGAGCTCTCCACAGCATCATATCTAACTCTGGGACCTCCACTGTCTGCGTAAGACTCAACAAAGTGGCCTGTCCCCAAGAGGCCTGAGATGACCAAACCTCATTTCCTCTCCTCGTTATGCTCACACTTATGAGCCAGGACAGAAAGTTGCTGATGACTCTGTCTGTTGCTTCTGCCCCTATCTGCTGCCCTTGGATCTCACCCGCTGCCCGTCACCCCCACAGCAAAGCATTTCCTGTGGGCACCATAAGTCCCAGAGCCTCCCCTATCACTGGGATTTTATCTTTGCCCTCAGTGTCATCATAGCTAAAGAGATGGAGGAGGGGGAGGCACCAGGAGGACAGGGGAGAGTCACACCTAGGAGGGGGTAGTAAGCAGCCAGGCCAGATGCTCCCCAAGGAAGCCTGAGGGGCAGTGCAAGGGTGGCAGAGATGTTGCAGGCAATGCCAAGTCTCCTACCATCTGATTAAATGAAACTGGGCTGGGGTGGTGCACTGGGAGTGGTGGGAACTGTAGCCACTGGGCCTGCAAATTTCCATGGACAACATTCACATATAAGAGCATTAGACACGCAGGGAGAGCTGATTGAACCCACAGGCCATTATTCCCTCCCCGAAGCTCTCTATGCCTCTATTTCCTCACTTGAAAATCAAAAATGAAGAAATAAATGATTTATAAGAGTTAATCATAGCCAGGCATAGTGGCACACACCTGTAATCCCAGAGACTGCAGAGGCTGAGGCAGGAGGATAGACAGTTCAAGGCCAGCCTCAGCAACTTAATGAGATTCTCAGCAACTGAGTAAGACCCTATCTCAAAATAAAAAATGAAATGGCCTGGGGCTGTAGCTCAGTGGTAAAATGCCTCTGGGGTCAGCACCCGCCCCCCCAAAAAGAGTGRCTAAATATTACTCTAAGTACTAAGTGTGCTTGATGCAACAAAATATATCTTTCAGCACARTTAGGTAGGAGCTACTATAATCTTCATTTTTTAGGTATAGAAACTGAGGCACAGTGGGGCTAAGCAGCTTGCCAAGGGTCACACAGAGATAAGTAGCAGAGCTGGAATTCCAAGCCGGGCCCCAGAGCCCAGAGTGTGAACACTTCCATGTGACTAGGTTACACTTGGCCCAGGTGGCTATAGTTATGTCCCCAAAATACCTCCTGACTGCCTCACCAGGGCAATCTTTCACTAAATTTCAATCCAATAGACTCTAGCAGCCTCCCAAACAACCCTATATTCCTGCATTTCTGAACCCTGGTGCCTGACCTGGTGCCTGGGCAAATTCTGTAGTGTTCACATTGGCGGGAACCCCACAGATGATCTGGGTTCCCAGGCATGGAAACTGAGGCTGAGCAGAGCAGAATCTGCCCCAGCCACAGAGCCAGTCAGAGGGAGCTACAGTCCCTGACTCCTAATCCAGTGCCCTTATGACTTTTGCTGCTGTCCTGTTCTCCTCCAACGGTCCCACAGCCTTTCCTCCACATCTGATTAAGCAAGAAAGTTCTGAGGGCGTCACTGTAGGTTAATGGGCATGAAGTCCACGGCACAAAGCTGGGCACCCAGAAGGGTCAATATGGGATGCTGCCCTCCTTTCTTGGGTCATCTGAGGTTTCCAAAGAGGCCCAGAGAGCTTGGTCTGAACCATCTTCTCGCCTGTCCTGGCAGGACAGATCTCATCAGGCTCCTTTGGTCATCTGTGTCAGTAGCTCAGAAGAGAAGTGGGGAGACAGGTGTGGTCCTAGGAAAATGTATCCTGGACGGGAAAAAGAAGGTCCTCAAACCATCATGACAAAACCTTTGAAGAAAGCACTCCTGGCGGGGCTGGGGTTGTGGCTCAGTGGTAGAGCGCTTGCCTTGCCCACGTGAGGCACTGAGTTCAACCCTCAGCACCACATAAAAATAAATAAAGGTATGGTGCCCATCTACAACTAAAAAATAAAAAGAAAGAAAGCACTCCTGGGAAACCCTGAAGGTGATCTCCTTTAGGGATTTAGTGTCCCTTTGGAGTCAGTTAAACCTGGGTTAGAATCACAGTCCTGCTATGCCCAGGCTGTTACGACTTTCAGTAACTTGCCTAACTTCTCTGAATGGGTATAATAAAAACAATAATTCCTATCTCATCTAAAGAGTTAACACACAATAAATGTTGGCAACTATTGTTAGTAACTAAATTTTATTATATTGCTCCAGCACAGCATAAAGACATGAATAGCCTCTTAATATGTTATAAATGTGTTATTGTTACACTCTCATACACAGGCATCTACACAATTCATCTACACAGAGGGAACTGAATACCTAGAATCTCATAACCACACACATACACATGCATCCATTATATAAACTCCACACAAACCTCCAGGGCAACAGCATGTACTCACCATGCACCTCACTCACTGCTCTGCCCTTAATCCTGGGAGGCGGGGCCTTTTTAGTCCCTTCTCTCAGATGAGGAGGTGCACAGTCTGTGCCTACAGGCTCTCTGCATTCTGAAATGTGGACACTTCTGGCAGCTCTGGGAACCTCAGCACTATCCTGAGCCCCCCTCCCCCCATCAGAAGAGCCAACCCAATTTCCACTGTCA